TAATGGTTTATATGGTCAAATTCGACCATGAAATCCCTAGATCTAGAGGTTTCATGGCCGAATTTAGCCGTATGAAACCAAATTCGAGGAGAACTCAAGATCCAAGTTGGTGTTAAGGTATGTTATCCTGATTTTAATTTTTCTTTTTTTTGTGTTAATTTTTTAGTCGAATTTTGGATTTGTTGGTTGTAATGGTGGTTTTTGGCAGCAATGTTGTGACTTTTATTTTTTGTTTTTTTTTTAATTTTTGGGTGGTCTTTTGGTTAGAACACTAGATCTGGGTTTGGTTTGGGTCGTTAATGTGGATTTGGGTTGGTTATGGTTAAGTGGGGTGGGTTAGGGTGGTGGGTTTGTTTCGGTTAGGGTGGTTGCTGGGTTTTCTGGGTTCTTCGGGCAATGGATTGTGGTGGTTGGTGGCGGTGATACGCCGTGCCGGTGGTGTGCGGCGTATTTTTTTTTTAATTTCTTAAAAGAATTTTCCGACGGAAATTCTGTCGTAAATTTCCAACGGAAGTGTATCCGTCGGAAATTTACGACGGATTTTTCCGGCACCGGAAATACCACCTTCGACGAAAAATTCCGTCGGAAAAGTGTTTCCGACGGAATTTCCGACGAAAAAGGTGCTTTTTCCTACGAAGCTTTTTCCGACAACCACTTCCGACCGAATTTCCGTCGAAAACGTGTTTTCCGACGGATTTCAGGGTTTTTCCGACGGAATTTTTCCGTCGGAAATGGACTGTTTTCTAGTAGTGTCACATACCTAAGTGAAAGTTAAAATGTTAAGTACCTGAGGTTGATGCTCCATTCTTCTTGATGAAGTCGTGGTATTTATGGCAATTTCGCTTCCAATGCCCCTTCTTCTTGCAGTAAAAGCATTCACTTTCACTTGCAGCCTTGGGCTTTGGAGTCGTCTTAGGCTTTTCAGGAGCCTTGGCAACTTGCTTGCCCTTGATCTTAGCACTAGCCTTTTGCCCCTTCTTCTTGAACCCCTTTCCCTTTTGAATCATAAGAACTTCCTTCTTAGGTTCCTTAGGGATTTGTTTCTCAGCACTAACTTGCATTGCATGCAATTGATTCATAGTCTTTGCAGTGGCAGTCATGTTAAAATTCATGATAACCTGGTTGAAACTTTCTGGTAGTGAATGGAGAATGATGTCTGTTGCCAAATCATCACTATATGGGTGCCCCAGTTTCTCCATACTTTGAATTAGGCCGATTATTTTGAAAACATGATCATGAACTGTGGCTCCCTTCTCCACCCTACAATCCAAAATATCACGATGGAGCTCATACCTTTCAACTCTAGCTTGTTTCTTAAACAAAGCTTTGAGTTCTTGCATGATTGAGTAGACATCTTGGTCCTCAAAACGCTTTTGAAGACTAGGCTCCATGGTAGCAATCATTAAGCAAGTGATAGGTATAGCTCTGTCATGAGCTTCCTTGTGCTTCTTGATCTCTGCCGCAGTTGGATTTTCTGGCAGAGGTCCTGGCAATGGGGTGTCAATGATATCCTCTTTTCCTTCAGATTTCAGAACAAGTCTTAGCATTCTTTCCTAAGTGGAAAAGTTATCCCCTGTCAACCTATCCTTCTCAAGGAATGGTCGAAGGTTGTAAACGTTGTTGTCATTGTGATTACGGCTACCCATCTATGTCAAAATAAGGCAACGCAAAGTTCAATAATTATGTTTAATTTAAAATTAAAGTACCATAAACGCATTCATTTGGTAACTTTAAAACACTTTATTCAATAATTAACTGATCCCAATTGAATTTAAGTGATTCCAAGATCCTTTATTTGTGCAATAATTGACCGGACTTTGGCCCTACCATCAACCATTACATTTTCAAGGTGAGTAAACTCTTTACTGATTACAACTCTTGTAACTCTTGGTTGAATAATTAATCATCACATGTTTAATTATTTCCTTTGCTTCAAGGTTCTAAACTCTTTAGGTAACCTTGTTGAGCATAACCAATTAAAAGTGTAAAATTTGTTTTACCCCCACTCCCCTAAGATATAATATGACACCCAGTTTTGGCATGACCCATCATAAATATCAAAGGTTTCATCGGGTTTTTAATTGGAAAAGCAATCTCAATATTACTGGGACCTAGATTTATTATGTTGTGATTATTTAGTGAACTCTAGCGCATCATCAATCAACATAAATAAAATCTAACATGCATAATATACTAATGCAATAAATCATGACATAGTATGACCCCTTAGTCCTAAGAAAACTAGAAATGAAAAAGCTCCCACTTGAATCGTTATGGATCTCCATCCACCTTGCTCCTTTGGGCCTTCACTTCATGAGCTTCTTTGGACTAACACTATTTAAATAACTATTCTATTTACTTTAAATAAAAGTTACAAAAATACTTAACGGCATGCAGACCGTATTTAGATTACAAAAATACATCACGATGCGCAGATCGTATTTAAGAATCTATGGGTCATACTAGTCTATATATAGCAACATAATATCATATATTATAAAAGTGTCATATAATAAATCACTCAACATGCTTGTCTAAACTACAACATCGAATGTTCATAATAAAGTCAACGCATTTCCTAAAATATCTTATATTTAAATCATAATTAGATAATATCATATATTATTCATGACCGTTTATAAAATATCATATATTTAATTTAGTCATGAGATAGAATCAAATCATATTTCAATCTAGAAAGATAAATCATATTTAATCTTCCATGATTATCCTAACAAATTTAGAAGATTCTATCCTAATTACTAGCCAATCAAATAATTTCAAAATCAATTATATCCTAATCTAATTATGGGATAATCACATTATTTAAATCAATTATTATCCTTTTGGAATATGCTCAGAATATCCTAGTCAATCTTATCCAAAATTAACCACTTTAATTAGGATAATTATTAATTTAACAACATTAAATATGGATAATATCAAATATAACAACTTTTGAATATTTGATTTTATCCAAAAATAATAGATTTTATCAAAATAAAATCAATTTTATATTTTAAAAATAAAAGATCATATTTTCAAAATATTCTATCTTATCCAAAATAAAACTGATTTTATCCCAAAATAATTCACAATTATCTTGAAATAATTTTTAAAATAAGATCATTAATTTTTTTTTTTAAATACCGCAAGCCACCACCGCCTGCCACCGTGGTTGGCTGCCGAAGCTAGCCACGGTGGCTGGCTGCCATAACAGCAGCCACTGCCGCAAGGAAGCAGCGGGCAGCTGCTCTGGCAGCCGTGGCAGCAGTCGTGCAACGCTTGCACGCTGCTGCCCACAACCACCCCTAACCGCCTGCCCTCCCTCTCGGACTGCCACCTGGTCGGCAGCCGCCGTGGCTGCGCCACCCAGCCGCGGTTGCCGGCCTCCTAAAACAATTTTTTTTGTGTTTTAATTTAATTAAAATAACACTTATCATAATTAAATTAAATCAGTCCATAAGATTAAAATTAAATCACATTTAACTTTAAAATTAGGGCTCTTCTAAAATTAATCCTAATTTAATTCTAACTTTTAAAATTAAATTGATCATCATACATAAAACATTTGTATGCATAAATCAATCCGATTAAAATTATGAATCATAAAATAAATCGAATTAAATCAAAATCAAGCATAAAAATCATATTTTAGGGCTAGGATTTTCGAAAAATTCGAAATTTAAGGTTATGGGGTTCGAAGTTTTCGAACATATTAGGGCTAAAATTCAGTCTCTTCATGACTATTTTGAGCATAATTAAATCACATTTAATTGATTCCAAAAGTTTAATCACATTAAATATAATAATTGAACCATAATTAAATTAATTTCTCCCTCTTAATTGATTATAAAACTAACGTGGACACCAAAAAATCGTATAGTTATGATCTAGCGCGTTCATGCAAGAGGCTAACTGATACCACTGTAGGAGTTTATAGGTACTACACAGCGGAAATAATATGAATCATATTCAAACAAGTACCAATCCCAAGATCACATGCATAACACACAAGACACATAATCATACCTTTGACACATGAATTCCACGAAGCTATTCGACAGGCAAATCAGGGAGAGAATAGAGCCCCAAGCGTTGCTCCTCTACTTAGTCCACGAGATTCGAACGAGCCGTCCACCAATACTAGATTGGTCGAGTGATTGAGGAAAACCGCGATCACCACCTTTATGGACAACCGACCACCGCACAAAACACCACCACCACGAGACACCATTGGCGCCAATAAGGAGGAGGAGAGAGCCGTGTAAGAGAGGACTATGAGAGGAGTTGGGTTTCGTGTTTGCTAACTAGGGTTTGATCACACTGATCAATTAATTGCGTACACCGTGCTTGCAAACCTAGGCACCTAGTCTATTTATAATCTCATTATAATTAGACTAGGGCACGAAGCTCAAAACACCTTCTAATCCTCCATATGGCCGGCCACCTAGAGTGATGAGGCCCATGAGGGGTCACTACAAGAAAAGGCAAATTAGCGACGGCCAAAGTAGTCGCAAATCTGTCGTAAAAATGGATTTGCAACAGATTTGCGACTACTTTGGTTAGTCGCTAAACACCTCGTCGCAAAGCTATTTTTGCGACTTATTTTTGGATAGTCGCAAATTTAGCAACGGATTTGCAACGACTTTGCAACTACCATTTAGTGACTAACTTCAAAATTTTAGCAACTAAATCACTGTCCGTTGTAAAATATTTGCGACGAATTAGCAACTACGGAGACCAATGTTTTGTGACGGATTAGCGACTACTAGACCAAAATTTTGCGACTGCGAGACTAAACTTTTGCGACGACAAAGACTAGTTATTTTGCGACGAATTTGCGATTACAAGACTAATTTTTTTGCGACGGATTATACAACTGAGACCAATTATTTTGCAACTAAGCACTCATTCTCTAAAACAAATACGCAGTCGCAAAAATCTAGCGACTGACTACCAATATTTGGAGACCATAATTTAGCGAGGACCAATATCTTTCACAAAAAAAAATGTCAAATTTATTCAAATATCCAAACCATATTAATAAATCAAAATTATCATCAGTTTTGTATCAATGTATTAAAAAACAACATTCTCAACCATACGACTAATTTTTTTCAAAATCACCTCTCATATAAACTACTTCCAATAAATACTAATAACGATATACAAATATGTATTGAAGATTAGTTGTTCACAAAATTATCACCAAGAAATTAAAAATCACTTAGATGTATCACGAGAGCGGGTGAGAGTAGACGTAGGAGGCTTAGTAAGACAGTAATGTTGGACAAGGGTTGTAATATCCTTCGATGTTTTGTGCATAGCAATTTTTTTTCTTCTTTCATGTTGCTTTTTCTATCTCATGATTTTCAGCAATTTCCTTGGCATATTTTAAACTTTCTGCCGCCATTTTTTGGCTTTCCTCAAACTCAGGTCTCCAAGTATATGTATGCTGCACATGATTATCCAAGTTGAAACCATATGCATTAGAATTTACAAAACACAATTGTCAAAATTTGACAACACGGAGACATTACTCGATAGAGGCTACTAAAAATCAGCAGTCAATTTTTTCTTCCACCCAAATCTCTCAAGTGCCAAATGTTAGAAAGAAGCACGAAAAGAGAGGGGACAGGGGAAGATATGAAGAGGTGGCAGCCTAGGAGGCATGGAAGGAATATAGACTTCCTCTTATAAGTACACATTCAGGGCCTAAAATACCAAAGTATCAACAACTAATGCAGTGAGTTAGAACACTTCATTTTATACACTTGATTTAATGATATTCTGATCACATTCCAAAATCTATGACAATAAGCCAAAAACAAAGAACTAATAACAGGTTCAGATCATTTATTTGATAGATATTCATAATAAGATCGCAATGCACAATATCCAATCAGTTTGTTATAAAAAATAAAACCTTATGATGCTGGTCGCTGGCGGTTGAGCATCGGCCATTACAGCCAGGTATATTAAGTTTTTTTTGCAGCTGAGCCTAGTACCTACTAAATATTTCAAATCATAAAATAGGCACAAAAGGACTTATTTTCCAGCATACAAAGTAATAAAATTAAAAAACCCTTAATAAGACTATAGATAAGAACAATCAATAACACTTGAAACCAGATTCGAAATATAGAGAGTATTATTAAACATTTTCAGTAAATTTGAGATTGCTTTAATTTTTAATAAGATTATAATTGTATATCATGGATCACAAATCATGGACTCAAATCCACTTGTTCTAGCTGTGTGTGTGTAGTAGAAAGAGAAAGAGTTTTAGCTGTGTGTGTGTGTGTGTATGTTAGTGTTCTGTTTGTCATCTCCTCTTCTGAAGAACATTTCTTTTATTTTTTTGTTTTTGTTTTTTCTTACAGGAAAGACCATTTCCTTGAAGCTACTATGTTAGTGTGAGAACTAATTTATGTGAAGTGCAAGCTAATTGGAACAAGCTTTAGCCAAAAACTAAAAGGAAGCATCAAGACTTATCTACTAAACACCTGCTCTTGAGTACTGCGTCAACCTTACAAATGAAATCAACAAGCATATTTACAACAATAAGCACCTAGCTAAGAAAGCTCATGGACTCTTTTACCACGTCCCTGAATCTATAATCATCAAACCTACCAAATTAAACTTTGTGAGCCTACACAGCAGTTGAATGAGAGATTGTATCACAAAGTGTTGTAATTCCAACCCTCTTGTAGCCAATTAGTTTATTAAGTAATTCCCTTGCACACAAATAAAAAAAAAATTAAACAAAGAGATCAGACAAGAATGAAAGGTAAACCCAAAGCTAAGATGAGTCTTATGCCACTATTAGCAAGAATTTGCAACCGTCCCTGTAGTGTGGATCACCCAGCTTTACGAGGCATTTATATTATAAACCAATGAATCATTTCTACAGCAAATAATATACATCAATGAACCATTTTTCGAAAATTTGGTACCACTCCATCACCAAATGTATTACTAACAATAACACACACAAGGACTGCAATAAGTATGGAAATCTACTATTCAGTTAGTGGAATTGATTTTATAAACCCCAACCAAAACATAGATAACCTCAACTCCGCTCACAATACTTTCACAGCTTAACTGTCATAAATCTAACCATTGCAAATCTGTTTCATTTAACCTTAATTAGGAAATGGGAAAACAAGAATCATAATTACATTACATATACATGACATGTTTGTTGTAGTCCATTTCTCAATATAAAACTTGTGCATCAGCGAGGCTTTCAGTTTTGTTTAGTCAATTCTACTATTATATATCCAATTGAGCACTTCATTGTGCATTAACTAATAATTTGATGCAGATGATGGTGGGGTAAATGTACTTTTTATTTTTACATAACAAATAATGAATATGGAAAATAACGGACTTTCACGATTCAAATTAATACTAGGTTGCTATTTTGTAGCTATCTCGCATACACAAACTAAATAATCAATCAATTTTGAATGGTTTCACATTAATTGACTTCAATGATAACCCTAAATTAAGCAATTGGCAGCCAAATTAAAATCAATTCAATCAACGCAATTCAAATGGAAACCAAATTAAAGTCAGATCAATTCGCAACTCAATCATTTTGCAATTCAATCAATTTAATCAATAATTAGATTAAAATCAATTCACAACTCAATCAATACGCATTTCAAACAATAATTAGATTAAAATCGATCCGCAATTCGCAATGGAAACCAAAATAAAATAAAAAATTGGACAAAAAACCTCAAATTGTATTAAGAGAAAGATGGAATGGACGGTAGGAAGGGGAAGAATACGTAACTAGCCTGGGATGAGATGTGCTAGCAGCGACGGAAGATGAAAACGACGGCAACAAGTTCACTCTGAAGTTCTGAACTTGGTTTTGAAATTCGCCATGGAAGCCTTTGGTTTGTTTTTTTTTAAAGGAAGAAGAGTATGTACTGCGATTATGAATAATAAGGATTAAGGAGTGATAGTTAGTTCTTGTTTTTTTAGGCAACAATTTATTATACTATATACGTTTTTAATTTCTTTATTAATAAATTTTAAAAATAATGGTAGTGACTATCATGTTAGTTGCAATAGTAGTCACAAATGTTTTTAAAAAATGGTTTCAAAATAATTAACCCTGGCAACTATAATTTAGTCGCAAAAAAATTATAAGAGTGTCGCTGATTAGCAACCAATTAGCAACTACTAAAAAATCGGTTGCAAAATTTGCAACTATTATTTTTTAGTCGCAAAAAAAATTTTTGCAACTGATTATTTGGTAGTCGCAAAAAACAGTTGTTAATTAGTGACCACATAGCAACTTATGTAAAATTGGTTGCAAAATTTGCGACTACTCGTCTTTTTCAGTTGCAAATATAATTTTTGCAACTGCTTATTATGGTAGTCGCAAAAATCAGTTGCTAATTCTTCTTTTTCTTGCATTGTAGTGGGTCTCGTCCTCTAATGCTTGATCTAGCCCCTTGGTGTGACCTTATAGGATCCGTCCAATTGGGCTTTGGGCTATTTTACTAGTCCAAAGATCGTTAGTACCTCTAGCTATGGCAAAACGACGACCCAAATGTACGAACTTAATTATCTCCATAATTTGATCCATTTATATATCTAGTAATTGCACACGACGAAGACATAACTCCTTCAATGGGGCCCGGTAGCGAAAAGAATTAAGATCCTAGGCGATACATCTTAGGATCATATAGTGCCATTTTGAAACATTTATGACCATTATATATTGTCATAAATGTCCGTGGTAGGCTTCAGTTCACAAAATCGGTGCAAGTTGCGAATTGGTAAATTGATCGTTTTAAGGCAAATTGGATGGTTCCACCCACCTAATTGGACTCCCAGAGGGTATTAGGGACCATGGAAAACATCTCGGCAATTTTTATTTCCAGGCGAAAAAAAGGTCAAAAAAATTCCAAAATTGAAGGCTATATTATCCACGCTTTTTGAGAAATTTTTGAGGTTAAGGGGCCTGGTGGAGAAAAGTGTTAAGACACATGGGAATACATCTTAGGGTCATATAATTTCGTTTGGAACCATATATGACCATTATATATTGTCATAAATGTTCGTGGTAGGTTTGAGTTCACAAAATCGGTGCAAGTTGCGAATTGGTAAATTGATCGTTTTAAGGCAAATTGGATGGTTCCACCCACCTAATTGGACTCCCGGAGGATATTAGGGACCATGGTAAACATCTCGGCAATTTTAATTTCCGGGCGAAAAAAAGTCAAAAAATTCCAAAATTAAAGGCTAGTATCCACGCTTTTTGAGAAATTTTTGAGGTTAAAGGGCCCGGTGGCGAAAAGTGTTAAGACCCTAGGGGATACATCTTAGGGTCATATAATTCTTGTTGGAACCATATATGATCACTAAATGATGTCATAAATGTTTGTGATAGGCTTGAGTTCACAAAATCGGTGCAAGTTGCGGATTGGTAAAATGATCGTTTTAAGGCAAATTGGATGGTTCCACCCACCTAATTGGACTCCCGGAGGGTATTTGGGACCATAGTAAACATCTCGGCAATTTTTATTTCCGGACGAAAAAAAGTCAAAAAATTCCAAAATTAAAGGCTAGTATCCACGCTTTTTGAGAAATTTGTGAGGTTAAGGGGCCTGGTGGCGAAAAGTGTTAAGACCCTAGGGGATACGTCATAGGGTCATATATTTCCGGTTGGAACCATATATGATCACTAAATGATATCATAAATATCTGTGGTAGGTTTGAGTTCACAAAATTGGTGCAAGTTGCGGATTGGTAAATTGATCGTTTTAAGGCAAATTGGATGGTTCCACCCACCTAATTGGACCTCCGGAGGGTATTAGGGATCATGGTAAACATCTCGGCAATTTTTATTTCATGCGAAAAAAAGTCAAAAAAATCCAAAATTGAAGGCTATTATCCTCGCTTTTTGTGGTTAAGGGGCCTTGTGGCGAAAAGTGTTAAGACTCTAGGGAATACATGTTAGAGTTATATAATGTCGTTTAGAACCATATATGACCTTTATATGGTGTCTTAAATGAACGTGGTAGGCTTGAGTTCACAAAATCGGTGCAAGTTGCGGATTGGTAAATTGATCGTTTTAAGGCAAATTGGATGGTTCCACCCACCTAATTGGACTCCTGGAGGGTATTAGGTACCATGTTAAACATCTCGACAATTTTTATTTCCGGGCGAAAAAAGTAAAAAATTCCAAAATTGAAGGCTAGTATACACGCTTTTTGAGAAATTTTTGAGGTTAAGGGGCCTGGTGGCGAAAAGTGTTAAGACCCTAGGGGATACATCTTAGGGTCATATAATTCCGGTTGGAACCATATATGATCAGTAATGACGTCATAAATGTCTGTGGTAGGCTTGAGTTCACAAAATCGATGCAAGTTACGGATTGGTAAATTGATCGTTTTAAAGCAAATTAAATGGTTCCACCCACCTAATTGGACTCTCGGAGGGTATTAGAAACCATGGTAAACATCTCGGCAATTTTTTTTTTCGGGCGAAAAAAAGTCAAAAAATTTCAAAATTGAGGCTATTATCCACGCTTTTTGAGGAAATTTTGAAGTTAAGGGGCCCGTTGGGGAAAAGTGTTAAGACCCAAGGGGATATATCTTAGGGTCATATAATGTCGGTTGAACCATATATGATCACTAAATGATGTCTTAAATGTCTGTGGTAGGCTTGAGTTCACAAAATTGGTGCAAGTTGCGGACTGGTAAATTGATCGTTTTAAGGCAAATTGGATGGTTCCACCCACCTAATTGAACTCCCGGAGGGTATTAGGGAACATGGTAAACATCTCGCCAATTTTTATTTCCGGGCGAAAAAAAGTCAAAAAATTCCAATATTGAAGGCTATTATACACGCTTTTTGAGGAATTTTTGAGGTTACAGGGCCCGGTGGCGAAAAGTATTAAGACCCTAAGCGATACATCTTAGGATCATATAGTGCCGTTTGAAACCGTATATAACCATTATATATTGTCATAAATTTCTGTGGTAGGCTTGAGTTCACTAAATCGGTGCAAGTTGCGAATTGGTAAATTGGCAAATTGGATGGTTCCACCCGCTCATTGGACTCCCGGAGGATATTAGGGACCATAGTAAAAATCTCGGCAATTTTTATATTCGGGCGAAAAAAAATCAAAAAGTTCCAAAATTGAAGGCTATTATCCACGCTTTTTGAGGAATTTTTGAGGTTACGGAGCCCGGTGGCGAAAAGTATTAAGACCCTAGGCGATACATCTTAGGATCATATAGTGACGTTTGGAATCATATATGACCATTATATATTGTCATTAATGTCCGAGGTAGGCTTGAGTTCACAAAATCGGTACAAGTTGCGAATTGGTAAATTGATCGTTTTAAGGCAAATTGGATGGTTCCACCCACCTAATTGGACTCCCGGAGGGTATTAGGGACCATGGTAAACATCTCGGCAATTTTTATTTCCGGGCGAAAAAAAAGTCGAAAAATTCCAAAATTGAAGGCTAGTATCCACGCTTTTTTAGGAATTTTTGAGGTTAAGGGGCCTGGTGGCGAAAAGTGTTAAGACCCTAGGGAATACATGTTAGGGTCATATAATGCCGTTTGGAACCATATATGACCATTATATGGTGTCTTAAATATCCATGGTAGGCTTGAGTTCACAAAATCGGTGAGAGTTGCGAATTGGTAAATTGATCGTTTTAAGGCAAATTGGATGGTTCCACCCACTCAATTGTACTCCCGAAGGATATTAGGGACCATAGTAAACATCTCGACAATTATTATTTCCAGGAGAAAAAAGGTCAAAAAGTTCCAAAATTGAAGGCTATTATCCACGCTTTTTGAGGAATTTTTGAGGTTACGGGGCCCGGTGGCGAAAAGTATTAAAACCCTAGGTGATACATCTTAGGATCATATAGTGCCGTTTGAAACCATATATGACCATTATATATTGTCATAAATGTCCGTGGTAGGCTTGATTTCACAAAATCGGAGAGAGTTGCGAATTGGTAAATTGATCGTTTTAAAGCAAATTGGATGGTTCCACCCACTCAATTGGATTCCCGGAGGAAAAATCTCGGCAATTTTTATTTCCAGGCGAAAAAAATTCAAAAAGTTCCAAAATTGAAGGCTATTATCCACGCTTTTTGAGGAATTTTTGAGGTTACGGGGCTCGGTGGCGAAAAGTATTAAGACCCTAGGCGATACATCTTAGGATCATATAGTGACGTTTGGAACCATATATGACCATTATATATTGTCATAAATGTCCGTGGTAAGCTTGAGTTCACAAAATCGGTGTAAGTTGCGAATTGGTAAATTGATCGATTTAAAGCAAATTGGATGATTCCACCCACCTAATTGGACTCCCGGAGGGTATTAGAGACCATGTTAAACATCTCGGCAATTTTAATTTCCGGGCGAAAAAAAGTCAAAAAATTCCAAAATTGATGGCTAGTATCCACGCTTTTTGAGAAATTTTTGAGGTTAAGGGGCCCGGTGGCGAAAAGTGTTAAGACCCTAGGGGATACATCTTAGGGTCATATAATTCTGGTTGGAACCATATATGATCACTAAATGATGTCATAAATGTCTGTGGTAGGCTTGAGTTCACAAAATCGATGCAAGTTGCGAATTGCTAAATTGATTGTTTTAAGGCAAATTGGATGGTTCCACCCACCAAATTGGACTCCCGGAGGGTATTAGGGTCCATGGTAAACATCTCGGCAATTTTTATTTCCGGGCGAAAAAAGTCAAAAAATTCCAAAATTGAAGGCTAAGGGGCTCGGTGGCGAAAAGTGTTAAGACCCTAGGGAATACATCTTGTGACTTTTTTGAAGGCGAAAAGTGTTAAGACCCTAATACCCTAATACCACAAATACTTATGATAACAAATAATAATTATATATGGTTCCAAATAACATTATATGACCCTGAGATGTATTCCCTAAAATTTCAAGACTTTTCAACACCGACCCCGAAACATCCAAAATTTCGCAAAATGCGTGGATATTAGCCTTCAATTTTGAAATTTTTGACTTTTTTCGCCCGAAATAAAATTTTCCAACATGTTTACCATGGTCCCTAATACCCTCTGGGCGTCCAATTGGGTGGGTGTAACCATCCAATTTG